GTTAGTTTTGCTGCGGAGGACTTTTTATTATGAATTGTGTGACCAGTTCAAATTCTTTTTTTTTTCTTTATAATGAGGGCGAAGTTATATTCAACGAATATGATACTCCAACAATGTTATTATTTAACCACAAATTTATTATATTTGGTGGAACCTCTAAAAATTCACAGTTCCAGAGCATGATCCCACTAAAGATCCGTCGAGAGTCGAGAGGTTCACAATTCATTATGCACTGCATTATTGCAATAAAATAATTTTCTTACCTTTTGCATTGAGAAATTACTTTCGTTGACCTTTTCATGGAGTATGCTAGCATGAATAGTGGTATTGGCACAGTGGCAGCAACATGAATTTAGCATGGTCTATCACGATTGTTTTTTAGATTAAGTGGTTGGGGAAATTAATCCCAAAAAATAAAATAAAATCAAATTAATACTTGCAAAATTAATACTTCCTTTGGAGAAAAAAGTCTTCCCCTGAAATATTAGAGAGACCATATGAGATACAAGAATATGTAAGCAAAGAGAAAATCGATACGAGAAAGGATGGTCAATTGCAAAAGAGGATGATAATGAAACAAAAGTAAGTACATAAGAGAAATAATGTTTCTTTCCTAAATTACAAGCAATCAAATGTAGATTTCCAATGAAATCACGAAAAGTAAATGCTCAAATCACATAAAATATTCTAACCGAATTAAACTAGCTAATTATTTACATAAAATCTCCAACAACCTCCCTCAACCTCAAATTGAATACTCCTTGAATTTACTTTTTCTTTTGGTGGAAAATAATTTGAGCCAGAGAAACAATGCAAGATAAACTTAACAAACTTCAAGGATTACAGTGATAGTGCAAAAGGACATACTGGTGACAAAACACCCAAAACAAATTAATGGTGGGAAAAACATTAATAAGAATAGCACTGTTTTGTTTTGGATAATTCCAAACTATTATTAAAACTAGGTTCTAGGTGACGAGGATGGTTTTGGAATCCATGATGGTCTATCTTGTGCTACAGGGAGAGTTAAAGAAAGAGACAACCTCAAAAAGAAAATTCACATTGCGTTTCAATGGGAAATAATTTAGCTACAAAAAAAAAAAAAAAAAGATTTCAGGCAGCTGTTGATGATTTATGTGAAGCAACACGAGTCGGCATCAACCATCGTCAATCACGCCAAGTGGACTTCTTATATTGATGTGCCGTTTAGAAAGGATTCGGCACAACTTTCTTGATTATGAATAAATCGCTTGGATAATTTTTGGTATGAAAACCCTCATTGCATGCCTAATCTTTCCCATCATCAGGTACATTTTTCCTATAATATAGGAATAAAAAAAAACACGTTGTGAATTATGAAAGCATCTTATTTGTAGCTTGACATTTGTCCATATTAATTCCTTACTACCCTACAGAAATGTTGATAGTTATCCAAAGTTCATAGGCATGAATTCGAAGCTTTATAAATCCCAAGATAATGATCATTGTTACTTGTATTATTTGACTTTCAGAGACAGAATTACATAATTCAAGAACGCATAACCATTGCGTATTTTGTTGAGTTGGTTAGACAACATAACACATTTCAATTGGCGAAACTAATAATAACTCAGTAAAGTGTATATGACTGTTATTGATGATCTAATACTTGATTAAACCCGATCTCTAATGTGATTCATAATATTGGATTCCTCTATCCGAAGCAAATGATATTCAGAAAGTATATTGTCGAGGATTTGTTTCTTATTTGGTTTTTTCCTTTCAATAAATTAAACCGAGAAAAGTTCTTTATTGTATCACATTAATTTTTTTTTTTTTTTTGGTTGTTGAGGATTGTTCTTCGTCTCTACCTCTCTCCCTCTTACTTAATTTTTAACTTTCTCGTAGCTCTGGTGTTCCATTTTTGGGGTGATATATTGTATTATTAGGAATGTTTGATCTTTAAAGTACTAATTGTTTGATTAAGTATTTTGACCCAAACACACTCATCGCAGAAATTTTCATGAAATAAAAATAAAAAAATGTATTTTTGTTCCATCTCAAACTTGCCAAAATATCCAAAGATATACGAATCTGAATATTTCGGTTCAAGACATCATGAAATCTAGAACAACTAACCATAATGGTTCTCGATAATATCCCATCTAAACAAAACAACGTTAAGATAAGTATCAGAATTCCCATTGAAATTCAGCAAATCTGTTTAACTGATATTAACATTGACGTTGAATATCACGCTGTATGCCCAAAAAAACTGGTCGCTATCGTCTTCGCGGAAACATTCAACTAAATTATACCTGACTTTTCCCATTCCCCGGGGTCATGTTAAATCTCTGTTTTAAAATTATTGCACATTTTGAATTTTCTTATATTTAATTGACAAAAAAACTTTAAAAATATTTCGTAACAATGAAGAGAAAATATATTTATAAGATTTTTTCGTCAATTAAAAATACATATTATATGAAACTTAAAACAAAATCAAAATGTCTCATACTCTATTAAATACAGGAGGGAATACTATTGCAAGTTGCAAGTGAAAGTGAATCCAGACATCCAAGACAGGAAATCCAGAAGTACATAATTCATTTTTCTTGTTCATGTACTTTAACAGACGTGATCGATGAACAGATTGAAGCGACACACATCAACCTAGTATTCCCCACAAATTCCCCCCAAAAATAATAACAAAGTACAAACAAAGAGATATAGAGATTATTTTGACTTGCCCCACGTTCCGGTTTCCACTCATCTACTCTGATATTTATAAAGCCCACAATTATAGGTATCCTAGCCATTCAACAAAATAATTTTTTTATATACCAGTATAGGTATTCTAGATTATTAAATTTGTGAAGTCTACTGGGAGAAGAGATACTACTATTAGGAAAAGACTCTAAGCGTACACGTCTTTATTACGCACTTTCCTGAGCGGCAAGCTGACTTCCAAGACTACCTCTGGCCTCCTGGCGGAATTTGAACATGAAATTTCTTGAGACCTCAAGTTTTTTATACTATGCCATTACCACTTGAGCAATCCCTTGTTAGCTTCAAGAAAAGATTAGTTTTAGCTTCCTGTAAGTGGGGATGGAACCTAACCTTACTAGATTTAGGCTGATGCCTATCTATTCGTTCCTCGTGTCCTATGTAACTACCACACCTTAATGTGTCAACAAGACGTTGATGATATGTAAGCAATAATTGAGACAACAATTTTACAATGAGATAACTCGCTCAACATATATGTAGTGTCGCAATGTATATAGTTGGAAGGTAAATTTTATTTTTTAAATTTACATTTTGTCTACTAACATCTGAGAAGATTGTTGTCTAGTTAGTATGTATTTAATCATCTTCTCTTTGATGTGTGCTTAATACTCCTTCCATTTCATTTAACAAAGTGTACTACAAAAGGATTTGCTGTTAAATTCCCAGAATGCGGTGTTACAATGGTGCTAGATGAACATTCCTTGAGTCATTTTGAATAATACTACCTCTATCCCTAAAAATATAATTCATATTGAATTTTAAAACTTGTATAATTTTATTTTAGAGTAATATTATCTTTATGTCTCAAAAACTTAGTCCTGAATTTAGGGAAATCACAACCAGCTCTTGAATGCCTTTAAGAAATTTTAAAAAAGAAACCTAGTGAAAGCTTAGCACAACCAGCTCCATAACTGTTGTTCTAGTTTTGTACATTTTTGGAACAAATTTGAATCCAGGTGGCTTCCAAAATGATCCTCAATAGGATATTTTCATTATAACCATTTAAAGTATCCAGTACATATTGCATCCTTCTTCAACCCTAAGAAAATCTTTTAGATAAATTAGGTAATGAATAAAGGTAAAAGTTTCATAATTAATAAGGAGAAAAATGTTTAGTATGTATATCATTCAGTGCCGAAAACTATCGCTCCAACTAAGTGAAAGTTATGAATGTCTTTGTTATTGCCAAAAAAAAAAAAAAAAAAAAATCCCATTCTGCAAGCGTGTGCCACCACATTTTTTTTTTTGGGTAAAGTGTAAATTTTCATTCATCTCAAACAAGTCATTGACAAATTTACATTATGGAATCACAGTAGTCATTATGTGAGATTGATGGATAGTTTTTCATTAGTTTATTATCATGTGATTGAGGATTTTAATATCCGCATGAGAAAAGCCATCAAAATCACCTCGAATTCTTTGATCCCAAGGTTCCATAAAATAATCATATCCAGTCTACTACAAACATACAAAACCCCAACGATACCAATAGCAAACCCTTTCAAAGTGTCACAACATAGATCAAATACAGCACTAGGTTTTAAAATCAACTACTGAACATAAACCAGTTTACAGCCCAATCGTCATCAAATTTATAATGGTCAAGGGCATTTTTGTCCTTATAAAAAAACTCGAAAAAGTATTAATCTTTGAGATATCACAGGGTGTGGACTTTTGTCCTTATCCAAAAAAGAATCATCTGGTTCAAAACACAAAACAAAGTACTTGTACCCGAGTCCAAAAAAAGTTCACATTAAATTTTGAAATTTATCTAAAAAGAATTGAATTTTAAAGCTCAATTTAAACTATTTTTATGGGATAGAGAGATTATTATATACCATGCTCTATATATGTACCTTATTCACTATAATTATGCTTACTAACCACGACTCAGCTATAAATTCTATTTCACGTAATTGAGATTGATGTGTCTTCAATATTAAAATTTTAATTCAATTTATTTATCTTTTTCTTTTTTGAATCAAGACGAAAGCATCCAAATATCTTTTGGCTAAGATTCGTTCTAATGCTTAAGTTTTTATTTTTTATTTTTTTTTATAATAATAAAAGCAAAGGATTAAACATTTTCAATAAAACAATTTGCTGGTGAAACACATCTACAATACCGTATCCCAACCATTGAATACAATCCAGATGAGAGTGGGCTGAGCTAAATAGGCGTAGCCAATTGTGGATCTAACAACATAAATGTTAAACATATGTACTATATACTACTCCCTTGTAATATGAGCAATGAAGGCATCAAACTCAACCTTTGTAGAGCCACCATCAACCACCGAACACCGAACAGATTCCCCCAACTTTGAAGCCCTTTTTCTCATTTCATGGCCTAAGTAGTCCTGCGCCATCAATATCCTCACAGCTCTCTCAACCATCGTTGACGTCACTAACCGATCATCATGACTACACCAATCTTTCACGAGCACACCAACTTTCAATACCTCCGTCACCAACACGGCATTCCTCGGCTGGTCGGAATGCATCGGCCATGCAGCGATCGGAACCCCCATCGTCAAGCTTTCCATGCACGAATTCCAACCGCAATGGCTCATAAACCCTCCAATCGCGGCGTGTTGCAAAATCGCCAGCTGGGGCGCCCAGTTCCTAATCACCAAGCCTAATCCCTTGCTCTCGATTCTCTCCTCGAACCCATCTGGTAGTTCCATTGATCTTCCTCCACAATCATCAACGAACACGTCTCCTTTGTCCGCGTCCCTCAGAACCCATATGAATTTTTGCTTGCTTTTCTCTAACCCAATCGCGATTTCGCGAATTTGTTCATCAGAAAATGAAGTTGTGGTACCGAAAGAAACCAAGATTACTTCGTTCATACTTTGTTTATCGAGCCATTCGAGACATTTATGAGTAGTGGGTCTTTGATTCTGTTCTTCACCTTTTTCGATCCGAACAGGATTGAAAGGGCCAAAAGCCCATTGCTTGGTGTTTCCGCTGATTTCTTGCTTCGAAAGCAAATCAAGAAAAGTACCTTCCATTTCTTTGCATGAATTGTATATTCTCCCCGACGAATTTTTTGCGTAATCAGACTGATATATAACAAACTCCGTAAATTGAGGAGTGAAACATCTGTCTAAAGCTGGAAGCTTTTGTAGAATCTCTTCATCAACCGGAAAGGGCTTTCCGGCAGTTTCCCATCGGAAAAAGAAGCTCGTAAAAGCAGAAATACTATGAAAAGTATAGGCCTCGGCATTCGGGAGACGAATGAAGTCTTGAACCACTGATCCCATCATTGAATCGTTCACAATTACCACCCTTCTGTTGGCGTCAGAGAGTGACCGGAGTAAAGAAGCCACAGGGCTGCGGAGTTCTTCCGCCGCCGCGTCGAATAAAGATTGGAGATGATACGGGAATTTGATCTTGGAATTCGGGTCTGGAGGAGGGTTTTGAAAAGTCGGGGACGGGAGCTCGTGGAAATGGATGTTCGAAATGGAAAGTGGGTCCCAGCCGTGGACTCGGAGCTTGGCCTGGCGGTTGTGGGTGGCGGTGCCAACGTAGTGGACGGGGATGTTGTAGGCGGAGATGAGGCGGCTGAGCTGGAGGAGCTGGTTGAGATGGCCCTGTGCCGGAAACGGCACCATTACCACCACCACCTGATCATGAGGGTTTTGGTAATATTGGAGAGATTTTCGAGCAAGGCTTTGTACGTTGTTATGGAGCATATTGCCGTTTGAAAGAATTTAATGAAACTTTTCAAGGAGGGTAATTCGATATATGATATGGAGTTTTTTTTTTCTTTTTCTTTTTACTGTATATATATAGAAAGAATGATAGATATATAATATCTAGCATTCTGGGATCATAGGACCATGTTGAGTTTATGGGATTTTAATTGGCGGCCAGTTCACCTTTTCCAACATTTATTAGTTTGTGGGAGATATGTGATAACAGAACAATGTGGTTTGAATGGGTAAAAAGTGTTATGTATCACTCGTGGGGTTGTTATATATAGATATTGTCCAATTACGTTTTTCTTTTATTGGGGCAACCGTGCAATAAGACAAGCTACAGAAAATTGATCCATATCATTTCAAGAGTAATACTAAGTATTCAATCTCGCGGGGTTTTTTCTTTTTTCTTTTTTTTTCTTCTTTTGGATAAATGGTAAGTTAATAATAATACTCACGGAAAATGCATATAGTTATTTACAATTATAAGTGGATTCATAGTCGCGGTAAGTACTTTAGTTTTCCTTTTCTTGCATTTTTACTACAAAATTTGCATGGTGCGCCAAGTCACTTTTTGCTCATAAAGTTGGAACCCTACCGCCTTTGATTTAAGTTCAAATGTTCTCAAATTCCTTTCTACCAAAATATGATATATGCATGCTACAACTGTTACATATACTTTCCTCTTAACTAGAATATATCTCCAAATTTTTTTCAACCTCTTATGCTTTTGGCTAAGCTGCTGAGGCAATTGTTGCACTTCAAAAACAAACAATTAATCTTATTCTCTTCAATCCTGATCTTAAAACAAACACAAGCTAAAACCCCCAGCTGACTGCATATAAGTTACTGCATAATTTTAACTGAAAAAAAAGATCGACTAATTTACTGCATAAATTCGTTTCCCCAAAATGTGCTTCATAATTACCACCGACCACTTTTACTATCCCGGTGAGAACACCATTTTGATAATCGACATTATGTACCTCATTGCTATTCCTTTATCCTATAAATTTAAAGTTTTCTGAATAATTTTACAAGTGTCTAATCATGCATTGGGAATCAAAACTAGTTATCATTTCGTTATATAGTACTCCATCCATTCTAAAAGGCTGCTGATAACTTCAGAGTTCACCGGCGGATCCAAGGTGGGGGTCCTGAGAGCCATGGCCCCCGCTGGACTCGCCTTGGACCCTATATATTTTTTTTATTTTTATTTTATCTTTATCAATTATTACTATGATTTTACTTTTTCTATTAATTGGGTTTTCTGAACCCATAAAATTCTCCTAATTTAAGTGAAATTTATTTTTTTATAATTAAATATATATTTTTTCTCTACAAACAACCATCACGGAAAATGTAAGACTGCCATGCTAGCCTTTTCTTCCTACTTTATTTTTTTTTTTTTTATTTTCTACAATAGAGCTAGGTGTAATCTTTCTTATTTTGATAATATAAAATTTGTATAATTGTATCTACCATGTTGTTTGGAAATTTTTATTTGACTTCTTGACTCAACAATATTATTTTATGCAATATGGTTACAAATTTAAAGGTTTTGACTATTTTAAATGTATTTTTTTTGGTATTTTTCTCTGTGGAATAATATTGAGTTTAAATGTTATCATAATAATACTTCCTACAACCCAAGATAATCATAATATGTAACAATCGTTACAAATATGAAGAGAATATTTTCTTTACTCTGATATTTTAAAATTATATATGGCACCCACTGTATTTTCATCCTAGATCTGCTACTGCAAGGGTTGTATTTCCCTTAGGTCTAAGGCTAATTTTTAGGAGTTTTATTTTATTATTTATTAATATTCTCTCCTTTTTTTTTTTCCTCCATCAAGCAGGAACTTTAATAGTTTACTCCTATTTAAAGGAATTTTTTTCTCATATTCTCCCTCTCCTCTTTTTATCAATGAAACAAAGAGCTAATGTAATTTGTTAATCGTTCTGCCTTGCAAGATCGGATGATTAGTCATTCAGTTTGAAGCGAATCATTTTTAAAAAAAATAAAAAAGTTTGTTAGAAAAAATACTACTTAGAAGTTAGAGCTCGAATTCGAAGGAATTGATATTGTTTTGGCCCGTTAATTTAATAAGACATGTAAAAGGATTTTTATTTTCCTAGTAATATTTTATGAGTTTAATAGAAAAATATGTAAAGGTAAGAAAAAAAAAAGAAATGGAATTCTATTAACAGATCTATTAAAGGAAAAAAGGAATCGACAAAAAGAAGTTTTAAAAAAATAAAAATAACGTAAAACAAAAGGAAATGGGATTTAAAATAACGTAAAGCATATGGCTTACAAGTTATTTATCTATTCTAGTTGGTAGGGGTAAAATTAGTATTAAAAAAATTAGCCCTGCACCTAAAGAAGAAATAGCCCTAGATTTATTAGTGGCCGGTCTAAAATAGATGTCGTTGGGAAGATTTTATAAAATTTAAGAAAACAATAAATACCTAGGAAAAATATATATAAATTTACTCTCATTTACTCCCATTACAATTTTAATACAAATAATATTTAACTCCAGTAGAATTTTACTTTAAACACAACTACAATTTCCGATGTAGGGACCGTGTAACAAAACATGCCTTGATTTGTGAGATCGACGTGTATTTTAAAAAATTTAGTTTTTTCCTCCAACGATATTTATTTATTTTTTTGACCAAATCAAAGCGGTTCCTGGCTGGCATGATATCTGATTTATTAATGTAAAATAAAAATTAAATAGCACTGCTTAAGACTTACCATTTACAAAGTGAAACTATAAATGTATATAAAATAAAAAAGTGAAGAGAATGAAGAGAGTATCAAATTAAAAAATGAAGTGGTGACAAAAATTTTGTATTAGGGTGCTAATATATACCACTTCCGTTTATTTTAATCTGTCGTATCAGGATGAATCCAACACTTCTTTTTTACCTATCGTATTTTATTTCTAATACATCATCAAATACAGTTCTTTTTATTTAATCCTTAACTCTCTGAATTTTTATAACATATATTAAGGACAATACCTATTTTTGTTACTTAAATTTTAAATTTTTTATATAGTCCCAATATTTTAGGTAGGGGCAACAAAGGTACCTGAGATACCCTAATACGGCAGATAAAAATACTAGAGGTAGTAGGTCAAATTCATATGTCATCGATACACGTGTATTTTTTTGGTTAAAATATATTCATGTACCATTTCTCTAATTAGGTTCATAAGTGGTGAATGAGTCGTTGACACTTCCAAAAAAAATAAATACCTACTTAAAACTATTAGCTAGTGGTAAGTTATCTGCTTAAAATCTGATTATTGTGTAAACAAGGGAAAATAAGCTGAACAGATTTGTCACTCGAGAGAGTAAGAATAGTCAGTTGACAGAGTGAAGAGCAGAAGGGCTAATCACCTTCCTATCTATATGACCCAATTCTGATTCATTTTAGTTCTTGTTGAATATGATTTATTATTTGATCAGGCACGTGTATTCTTTACAATTCCTCTCAGACAGAATAATGAGTCTCGGATTAGCTAAATTACCTACCTCTCAGTCAGAGTAATTCATTAATATAACCCATTGAGTTCTTAAGTCCTATTGATCACCTATGCCAATGCACCTAACTTTCGTTGATAATTGAAATCAATTGGTAGATTTCCTCCTTTGTCATAGACTAGTTTTGCAGTTCTAAAGTTATGTTCCCCCTCTGAGATCTCTATAACTATACATGCACAATCAATTAATGAACAGTTTAATTAAAAGGTTAGTTTAAACACTTAACTAGAAACAATGTGATGTAGCGAGTGGAAGCCTATATCTCAAACCCTAACAAGTAACCCGTCATAAATCCATTGATTCCACGAAAACCCGGAAATACGACCTTCCTAAATCTCGTTAATTATGAGAATACCCGGAAATAGGGACCAAAGTTTAATACGTTGGGATTTTCTGAGATGAACTCCCAACTTTTATAAAAATCAACAACCGATGTTTATAATAACGGCTAAGGTCTTAAATAGAAAACAAAAGAGCTACACCCTATTCAACTAAATTAAAATGACAAATATATCCTTGGACAAAGAAATTAAAACCCTAATCTATATTTATTCTGTCCTTCATCATTCTCCTGGGGTTAGAAAAACTCGTCCTCGAGTTTAAGTGTAGGTTTGCGACGACCGAAAGGAAAGTCAGCTGAAAGTTGATTGTGACAAAGAACAGGCATGCAAGAACAATCCATTAAAAGAAATTAAAAAGATGTCCCAGATCTCCTTGGCTACCTGTTGCAAACGATATAAATCATCAAATAGAAGAATAAGAGAATCACCGAATGGTGCCATCGCAACAGAAAATCGTCCCGTAGGCGGCGCAATACAAAACATGTGAATTGGAGCAACAGAAGAGCAAGAATGGTCAGGAATAGCAAATGTTTCATTCACTACAAAGGGAAAAGAATCAACCAGTGGTGAATGGCGCGGTTCTTCCGCAGCCGCAGTTCCCAAAACCACATCAGAAGAAACTGGACCATCAATGATGTCCTCATTTGTAGCCGACAAGTGTGGAGGTTTTATACTGTCATCAGAGTTCACATCATCATCAATGTATTTATCGAACACAGGGGGACTGTCCCAATCAATAGCACGCTCCCACAGTCATCATCTGATTCAAGAGCAAAAATATCATGACCAAAATCAGACTCCGATTCCTGATAAGTCAAAAAACGCTCATGAAGTTGTCGTTCCCATATCATCCTAAAGGTCTTGATTTCATCTCGCACGAGTTGTCGGAAGTGAAGCACAATATCATCTTTGACTTGAACTAGTTGTTGCAGTAGCTGCTTTTGCTTCTTGTCACAAACATAATCTCTATGGTGGGGAAGTGGGTGTGATGACGTCTTGTGCATTGGCTTCCTTGGCTGGTTGACAAGCCGTCGTCAGAACTAGTCAAATAAATTCACCTACTTAACACTAGTATAGCAGAAAATAGGG